GCTGAAGCCATTGACATGACAGTGATGACAGTCTCCATACTTCCTCAGTGCAGGTTTCCTTTTTTTTTCTAATCAAATCACAGTAAAATGCAGGAAACTTATTCTGAGCAGATTTCCTTTATTGGAATTCGAGGGGAACAATGGAACTACTTGCTTGATTTCTACGTAAACAATACCAGGCTTGAACTCTCTAAGGGACCTTCGAGGTTATTTGTGAGACAATGAACCTGTCATGTAAAGGCAGCTATGAATTAGGAATGTCACTGTGCTCTGCACTCCATACAAGAAGTAGAGGGGCCCTGTACTACACTAGATCAGATCCCGACAGCTCTCTATGGGGGAGTGCAGCAGGTCAGCGATTACAGCACTCAATGGCTGCATTGCTCTACAGGTCTTGTAACAGCTGGATAATTCCCAGATTCCATTGCTGCACTCAGCCTTATAGCCATGCAGAACATGAGACAGTGACAATGTTTCTCATAACTTTTCTTGAAACATAATTAAAGATTAGGTCACCCAAAACCAATACAGTAAACTCCCAGTTATGCTACACCCATGGGGATTGGTAGATGCCGGATAACTGTAGTTTCTGGTTGCTTGAGAGCTACTTTTAACTGTCAAGGAACTCTAAAGGCACAGTTTCAGTTTTGTGCATGTGTTGTGCCACCTGTATCATGCATGTTAATACATAGTACAACGGCATGCCATGTATGTGCATTTTCAATAATTTGTAATGGCATCCCAACACGCATCACAAGGCCAAGACAAACCTTCCAGCCTCCCAGCACACACTGAAGAACGCATGCACTGCCTTGCACCATGCTGGAAAAAAATTATGGATTTTTGTGGTCCATTGCCGCACATTGAGAACCCTTTAAAAATAAATGGGCAACACAATGTAGGACTATTTTGGACAGAATTGACAGTGCAAGACACCTGACTACTAGTGCTGTCCCCCCATCTCTTATACAGTGATTACAAGGGGTTGAAATTAAAGGAGAACTATGAGGTGAGTGAAAATCACTCATCCTCATAGTTCGAGCCGACATGTGGCAATGAAACACATTGACAAAACATTTGTGTAAGTGTAAAAGGTCCATAATGGAAACTTGTACTGTGATAAATAGAGATGCTCATTTGCTTATCTGCTTCTGAAAATGCTAATTACCTGGCTGTAATGTTGACTCAGCAATCTTTTCCAAGGCAGTGACCCAGAACAAGCCTGCGGATTAACAAGCCTCCTGATTGGGAAATCAAAGTGAAGTGATAACTCCTTAACAACATACTAAGGCTGGCTATACACTATTTGCTTTTCCCATGGCCTGAACAACAAAAAAGCTAAACATGGAATTCCCCCCACCGGGCCATTGTATTCTGACAGGGGTGGGTATGTTGATTGACTGCAGTCACTGTTTGGTCGAGAATTTTTGGACTGAGGCCTTCAATGAAAATTGATTGAAAAATGTACTCTTGTCGAATGGAGGGGTGGAAATGGGGCAACACATAGGTCAGTTTTAGTTGAGTCAGCAGAACTTGGACAAAACTCCAGCAGTGTATGGCCAGCCTTATTCTGACTGAGCAACCCAGAAAGCGCTAAAGCCCCTGGACCACAATTCCAGCAAGGCAGCTAACATTTTCAGAATGAGAGGTCAGCAATGGGCAGTTCCATATTTCTTTTTCTTCCATAGATTTCCTTTAAATAATATAAAACATTAACCAGACCAACTTGAGACTTGTTAATGGCGCCAGCTGCAAGCAGTTAAAGTTTGCTTTGTACAAAATGTGCGCTGGCTGCTTGACAACATCCTCAACACATGTTTATCTCTGATCTGTATTGAGCTAAACTTTGCATGAGCGCTTCACCGTGAACGAATCATGCATTAGTAAACATTAAGTGGCGGCAGGAACGGCTTCATACTGCGTTCCCTTGGAAACATTTCTTACTAGTAGAATCCCAGCTCAAGACAACAGCTGTTTTGTGAAAACCACGCGGCATCTGTTTATTCCAGAATTGCTCCTCTCGGTTTTGGCTTACAATTACGCCTGGTCTCATTTAACTGATTTCAGATTAAAGAATCACTTGATTTATGACACCATTCTGACTGTAATAAATTCACTGGAGATGCAATATTAAAGCGAGCCAGTTGCAATAAATTAGCATTTCTGATAGAATAAGCGGAACGAGCACAAACACACACACAGTACAAATACCTCCGCCTTTTGAAAGAAGGTTTTCATTTCACAAAGGATTTTATGTTAAGCCACCCATAGGCAAGAAATAATGGTCACCGAGACTGGCCGATGCCAGGTATATCTGGGAATGGTTGTATGTCTATAGATACACTGTGACCCTTGCATGTGTCCTTATGGCTGACTGACTTTAAAAATCATCTCCTCATATTCTTTTTTTTTTAGTAGACAATTATAATTTAGCTACTAGAGGGAGTTCTCAGTCGATCGGTGCTATCACTCTACTTCCTAAAGCCAAAACTTTTTTTTAAGTTGTGGATAAAGTGGGAAGTGTTAAAACGTCTGTTTGTGCTGGTGACCATTGTCACTGGGACTAAATGTGATGGCAAATCCCAAATTTTGGGTCATCACTAGAACAGAAACAGATGGGAAGTCCTCCAATGGGGACACTAGTTCTGGTGACCCTGCTGACCACCAGGGATTTCTCTCTCTTTGAAGGAATTTCCTCACACTTTCTGTTGTGTCTATCGGACAGGAAGTGAGGGGAATCTCTCAATGGGACACAGAGGGCAAAAAAGCTGGCAGGGGCTATGACCCTCACTCTGCCCAAAACTAAAAAAAAAAAATTGGCTGACAGGTCCGTATGGCATACTGACCTGGCCAGCTGGAAGCACTTTTGTAGGTCCGTATGCCATACGTCCTTGGCAGCGAAAAGGGTTAAGGCCCCGTTCACACCAGGGCGGTATGATCCGCCATACATTGTTATAGGGACCGTACATGCGACCGCGGGGCCCCCCGCCCGAACTGCTCCCTACACTATTTTTGCCACGCTGATCAGTGCGGTTTCCATACAGCTCTTAATGGAACTGAGCTGATCAGCGTGGTTTTGGGCGTTTTTAATTGCGTTTCATCGATGAAACGCAATTAAAAACTCCCACAACCTCCCTTTTGAAATCAGCGCGGTAACCTGGTGTAAATGGGCTCTAACATGGCCAATTCACAGACCTGCATTGTGTGAAGCAGCTATAGAGCACAACCATTGTGTAGTATTGAAATGTAGGAATCAAAGTCCCTGTATGTAAGTAAGGTAAAATGATTCACAGAAACAAAGTTTTTAAAACATGAACTCATCTTGATAAGATTATTAGGATTAAATCCAATATACTCTGATCTCTTTTTACCTGTTTATCTAGAAAACCCCACAAACATTTGCTTTAAAGTAGATCTAAACCCAGTCACTGAAATCTCACATGCAGCAGCAGATCACTTCTAATAGTAATCTATTTATGGTTGCAATCAGCCAGCAACAGATCACTACAGCAGCGATCAGGGCCACAACAGAAAGTTAAAAGAAATATCCCAAAGTGAGGGGAAGTCCTATTTCAGACATTTGTCCCGAAACAGGTATCCCCATTGGAAGATTTTCCCTCACCTCTTGTTCTGGGACCAACACAAAAATTCTGGATTTCTTCTTACTTTTTTTGTTTGTGGCAAGTGGTCACCATTACGAATGGAGGAGTGACTCTTCCCAATGGTGACAGCAATAAAAATATTGTATATATGGCCTATCCCTTCCCCATTCTATTCAAAACTTAAAAAAAATGGTTATGGCTAGAGATACACTTTAAATGCAGCTATGTAAGTATCTAATATCAGATTCCTGTAATCTCCTCTACAGAAGGGAGGGCCAGGTGAACAGCAGGATGATTCATCACATCCCTGCTGCTCCTTAATTGCCCAATCAGAAAGCTGGGTAGTTTATTCTAGGTGTGCTAGGTGTGCTGCTGCTGCTGCTGCTACAGTGGAGGTGCTGTCTGGCATAATCATTTGGCAGCTAAAACAATTCTTATCTATGTATTTTAACTGCGTATTTAGACTTTTTTTTTGACTATCCCCCAAAAAAGTCACACACTCTAGTATTTGGTTGGACCGCCTTTAGCTTTGATTACGGCATTCATTTGCCGTTGCACCGCTTCAATAAGCTTATGCAATATCACAACATTTATTTCCATCCAGAGTTACATTCATTTTGCACCACGTTTTTGTAGTGATGATGGGAGAGTCGGACCAGTGGGTAAATGTCTGTACCCTGTGGTGGCCAATCCATATGTGAAAATGATGCCTCATGCTCCCCGAACCACTCTTACACAATTTGAGCCTGATGAATCCTGGTATTGCCATCTAGGAAAAAATCCATTGATAGAAAAACCTGCTCATTCAGTATATTCAGGTGTTTTTTTTTTAACTACCGCTGATTGAACCTTTCGATAATCGGGGCAGGATGGGGCCGTCGTACGAAAATCGTACGATGGTTCGATCATCGGACGAAAAGTTTCGTCCGATAATCGTAAGGTGTATGGGCACCTTAAGTGGCTGATGTAAGCAGTCATAGACCACAGACAACGTAATTAATTGTAACATAGCCAAATTATTTTGTTTTACTATAATCTGCAGGCATTTGCTAACATCACCCCGGGATTCCTTTTCCTGTAAAATGTTGTACTTATTCCCAAAAGCAATGATAAATTGATTCTAATGAGATGGATAAAGAACAAGCTTTAAATCATTCAACGTACAAGAAAAGTGCTGTACATCTGGGACTGTAGAAGGCTCACAGTACACCATTACATGCGCCTCACCCATCATCTCATGTACTAAGGAAAGACAGCTGTAACATATCAGCATCACAATGTTTATATATACATTGGAGCCCTACTGGTGTGACTTGACTTGTGTTTTCCTTTAATCATCACTTTTCTTGGCCCTGTTTCTCACCCTTCAAGAGATATCATCTTCTTATGGTAACTTACTTCTGCATGTTTTCCCATTGCGGTTCAGAGCGAAGCCTTTCCGACATTTACATATGAATGAGCTGTCTGTAGTGACACATTCGTGTTCACATCCGTGGTTGCCCTGTGCACAGTAGTCAATCTCTGGAATGAGAACAAGAAGATGTAAGACCTAACTGGTTGACATTTAGATTGCTAAAGCGCTGTGTATCACAATCAATTGCCAGCCTGTTTTTGTTGCTTTCAATTTTTTTTTCCAGCATCTCAGCGCTGCTGATCTCATGCAGCCACGCCTGGTCTACATGCATTCCAGCAATGGCTGAATGGTATTTCTCAGGGTGGGCTATAAGGGTTAACTGGTTGTTTTTGCCTAGGGTCAAAAAAAATAAAGTTATACTCACTCAATCCTCCTCTTAGACCGGTCCCTGGAGCCTCTCTCCCCCTCCACTGCAACAGTCTAGGAATCCTCAATTCATCACGTCCAATACAGTGTGTTGGACATGAGGACCCGAAGGACATACCTGAGTATAACTTTTTTTTCCCGACCCTAGGCAAAAACGAACAGTTAACCCTTGCAGTGCAGCGGTAGCCCCAGTGCAAGGGTTAATAAAATTTCTGCTCGGAGTTCAGCTTTAAGTAACTTTTAAAGGGCTGGTGGCAAGGGGTTAATTGTATTCTCTTTGAAAGGACTTATTTGATACATTGTAGACACTCATTTGCATATTTACCGTATTTGCAATTTATTTATTGATACGCATTTATAACATTTCTTTTCTTTGTACTGCAGTATGGAGCCCTTTGCCATTTTAATATTTAGGGGATCCTTGAGTGTGTTTTGAGATTTATAGAAAATGTGTTTTTCTTTTGTGCATGAAATTAAAGCCTATCTCTGGGGATAAAAAACTGCCCCGACACTGGGGCTACCTCATGCACTGCAAGTGTTAACTGCTCCTTAAAGTCTAGGGGTATTGTGTTCAGGACTTTTACTTGCCTGATCCCCACTGCCTCGGCAGTCGGAGCTCATTTCTGTCCCCTCTTCTGACTTGTCGTCCTCGGTGTCCTCAGGGCTATGGGCTCTGCACTAGACATGATGACATCAGAACGCCTCTGCCTGCCAGGTTATAAAGGGGGAAGAGGCAGCAGGCGCTGGTCTTGGAGTCTTGGGAGTGGAGATCAGGCATGTAAAAGTCCTTTACATAATACCCCTAGGCTAAAACAAGCAGTTACCCTTGCAGTGTGGAGACAGACTTTAAGCACACAGCATTTTTAAAGCTTAATACTTTGAACATAAGATATGTACACTTTTTTTGTGGGTTTCACACTTTACAGGTTGAATACTGAGAAAGAACATAGCCTTATACATCCAATATTCATTTGATGAAAGTTGTTCTTTTTTTTTGCACAGCAGCCCTCGAGACTTATAAATATTGGCAGGGAACAGCTAAAACAGAAAGTTTCTGGACAAGGACCTTCATAGCAGTATCACTGGGTATTATTTTAATGAAAGCTGCAGATTTAAAAAGGACCCTGGGCACCATATCTATACAAGATCATGGTTGCATGAGCTTGTAATATGAGTAAAAAAAGCTACTTTAGGCTCCGTTCACACGTAGGCAGTCGCTCAAAGCTAAGCGCATCAAGACACTCAACACAAGAAATCCTGTTCATTTCTATGGTCCCTGTTCACACCTGAGCGTTTTGACGCACAATTCGTCACACAAAGTTTCCCATTGAAGTCTATAAGACCAAAAAGTGCTGTAATCTGCCAAAAAGTACCTCATGTACTTTTTCCAGTGATAGGCGTTTTTCGGCATGTGACAAAACTCTCAGGTGTGAACAGGGGCCATATAAATTAATGTGATTCATTGTCTTGAGTGTTTTGACGCACCTTTGAGTGCCTAGGTGTGAACGGGGACTCGGTTACGTAGCCCAGCTGAGGTCCCTCTTAGGGTCACCATACATGTTATAATCTGACTATACAAAGATTTGAAAAATGTTCCGGAGGGCTTGGCAGCGAAAGGGTTAAATCTACCAACAAGCAGGGCAGGATTTACTCTCTCTGCTGCCCCAATGCAGGTTCCTAAATGCGCCCCCCCTGTATGCAGGCTGCATACAAGTGTTCTTGGTGACATCCCCGAGATCACTTGTGCAAAACATGCGGCTTGCCTACAGCAGGGCTAAATGTAGCAAACAACTACCTGCCTGGCTCCCGGAACAGCATGTCCCGGGTGTCGGGAGATAGGTATTCCACACCCCTGCTGCCCCTCTAATCCCTGCTGCCCCAAGGCCGGGCCTCGGTTTAGTCTTGTGGGAAATCAAGCCCTGCCAACAAGTATGTACTGTAGTGCAAGGACCTGACTGACTGAATACAAATTGATTGGATAGTGCAGGTAGGCCCTCATATTACATAGATTTGGTAGATCTAAAGTTGATTGTAAAGAGATTGTACAGTCAAACTGTAACATGTATGGTGATCAGGTATGATGCAGCTAAAGCCTTGTATGCAATGGAGCTTGTATTGCACACTTGGCAAAATTCCCAGATGGTACATAACAGACCTCACCCTATGTTAGATCCATCTCAGAACTACATTGTCAGTACAATATTTTAACCAAGTCTGAAATCAAAACGAAACCCTTGAATGAAGACTGGAGCTTACTTGTGCACTTCTTTTTGTCCGGATTTAGTGTAAACCCTTGCCGACATCTGCAGTAATGGGAATCATCGGTATTAACACACTCGTGTTGACATCCATGTTCTGCCAAGGCACAGTAATCTGGTCCTAGGCATAATAGACATGTATACATCAGTTACGTACTGGACATACATCAGACGAAGATATTAAAAACAGGTTTTAATTATTATTCACACTTCACAAGAATCAACAGGGCAGCATTATTAAATCACATTATATTTCTAGTAAGAAAGTCCCTACTTGAGTAGAATTGCTGCTCTGAGCACCATCATAGCACCTTTGGTTTAGGCACAGTTGACAAGGTCTCGGGCTACCATGTGCATTGTGAATAACTGGCTCTATCAGAGACTACAGAAAGTATGTTCTATTCAGTAAGACAGACCTTATCAGTGAGATAAGAATGTCACTAGGAGTGACAAATTATATCATTATACATAAAAAAACTCATCACTTGCTAAACAGCACAAGTTCCTGCTTCATGGACTAACGGCAGCTAAGCAGATAGTGGCGAAGTCATGGCAATCCGCCACAGTTCCTTTTGCGGAACTGGAACGCCGACTTCACTGGTTCTTTACCAATGAACGTATCACAGCACGGCTGAACGATAGAGTCCCTCGTTTCGAAATGATCTGGGACCCCTGGATTCAACATCTACAGGCTAACTCGTTTGATGCTAGGTTACTGACGCTCTGATTCCATGGTGAGGATACCCTTCCACATGCCCTCTCAGCAGAATTGAATTCCTCCCAAATCTCCCTTATCCCCCTACGCAGTAGCGCTGAATGCTATCCTCCCCCTCCCTCCCACTTTCTGATCCTTTCCTCTCCCCAAGGCATGACGTGGGCGGTGTACGGGTAGTACACGGCCCCATACATTCGCCAACCTGATAAATTCATCACATACGATGTTCATTGATTGTTCTAGTTTAATTTTTCTTAAATGTTTATAGGCAATCGTTAATCACACAATCACTGTAAAGTGCCCCCTGGGAAATACGAAGGCTGTTGTTGTAATTGGGGCTTTTGTACGTAAGTCATGTCAACTCTCATAAATGTATGCACCTCTCGTATCCTGCAGTGTATTGTACGACAAAATGAAAATAAAAATCTTCTTGATTAAAAAAAAATCAAAAATCACTTTGACGTGCATATCTAAAACAGGCCCCCCTGCCAAAATTTGACCCATAGGTAGTTTTGTTAGCACCTCCAGCTCAACAAAAGTCAATTTTCGCAATCCACAAGTGTTGAAGGAGCCAGTCCAAAAGTTCTTGACCAAACGGTGTGTGCATTAGACTAGCAAAGCCAAGTGTGCTTATATGTAATAATGACCTGTGGTGGGTTTTCCCCTGCTGCATATTACTATTGATAGCATCCAGAAGGGTTCTGGAAGGCAGAGCATAGACATTAACAGGGTTATTCACTAAAGGGTGAAGAGTTTGGAGAAGGCAGGAGAAGTGAACAATCTAGGACAACATAGCTGATTTGGAAAAATTTGGAAGGATTCTGGAAAAATTCTCCAATTCAGCTCACTTTCCAGTTCAGCTATGTTGTCCTAGATTGTTCACTTCTCCTGCCTTCTCCAAACCCTTCACCCTTTAGTGAATAACCCTGTAAATGTCTGTACCCCTGGATGCTAATATCTTTGTCCTGATTAGAATAATAACACGATGTAGGGTGCTTTAGTGGTTGGACTGCACCAATTAATACTGTAGCCTCATTGCCATTACATGTCCAATAAAAAATAGGGAGGTTTGATAAGGGGGAATTTTAGATAGAAAAAAGTTGGGAGTGAGGAGCATTGTTTTTCTGTGGCTCTGGAAGGAAGCTTTGGCAGACCATGGGGAATGTAAATACCAGTAGCAAAGAGGGCAAACTGGTGTTATAAGGTCATTGGGAGGAAAATACCTGAAGTTATAGGTCATTGGGAGGAAAATATCTGGTGTTATAGGTCATTGGGAGGAAAATACCTGATGTTATAGGTCATTGGGAGGAAAATACCTGGTGTTATAGGTAATTGGGAGGGGAAAGAAACCCTGACATTAGGGGCATCAGTGGCCCCTCCTTGACATTCAGGCCTCGTATTAGACCCCCTTTAAATCGACTTATTCATGTTTTGATCAAGTCCCGGGTAGGGGCTCTAGGCTTGCTATACCAACATTAAATATAATAGACACACCAAAGTAGTAAATGGGGCTATCATGGTAGGACAAATGACCTGTAATAAGGTTAAAATCATAGTTTATTCATATTCAATTTACAAATAAAAAGTGTTACTTTTGCACAAATAATTGAACCTCCCATATACTCATACCCAGACTGTATATAAATTTCAAAGTTGAATATACATATCTCAATCACTTAATTTGTGTTCCAGCATCAATATCAGTCTAAACTCTGGAACTTGACAGTACTTTAATTGTCAGTAAGGCTTGATGCGTTTCGCTGTAATAACTTCTTCACGAGGAGGGAGGATCCTCTATATTGTTAAAAAAACAGTAGCATCATTATATACAATATATACATAAGTGTTCCAATCTTCCAACAACCAGTTACATCAATTTGATTGGATGCTTATATGGTTTAGCACGGCTACAATATTGGAATGGAATGTATGATTTTAATAAGAATTAATAAACTACAATTTTAACCATATTAGAAGTCATTCAGCCTAACCGCTATAACCTCATTTACAACCGTGGTGTGTCTATTTTCCTTATTCCTGTTTTGCTGTCTAAATGTGCAATTATTTTGCATATGAATGCTTAAGATGTACCTGTCACCTATATACAGAGGAAGCAATCAGTATTTCAATGAATACACCCTGTCAGATCAATTGTTTTTGGTGATGGTGCGTCAGTGTTACAAACAGAAGTCTACCCCAGACTTTCCTTGTGGCTTGATGTTAACGTTACTTGACCATAATCAGGAAGTAAGAATAGGTTTTCCCTACCCTCCTGTACTTGTGTTGATCAGATACCAGCGTTCCAACACCCAGTACCAGCAAATGGGGTGGCTTAGTGGTTAGCACTTCTGCCTTGCAGCACTGGGGTCCCTGTTTTAATCTCCTACCTGCAAGGAGTTTGCATGTTCTCCTTGTACTTGTACTCCGGTTTCCTCCCACATTTCAAAGACATGCTGGAAGGTTAATTGGCTCCTCTCTAAAAATTGCCACTGTATGTGTGTGCAACAGGGACTAAGGGCGTAACTGTAGATCATGAGGCCCGATAGCAAAATTTTCATGGGGCCCCTTGGTGACCTTCCTATTGTCCAAGATATTAAAGTCAGGTAGCAGGAGAGCTGTCTGCACTGTCTCCTGTACATCTAATGTCTGCTCTTCTTGATTGGAAATGTCACTTGAGTTACAGGGTCAGTATCAACAGCAACTTCTGCTATCCTTAATGGGCCTAATTCCACCGCCAGGCCCCATAGCAGCCGCATGGGCTGCTATGGCTATTGTTATGCCACTAATAGGAACCTTAGATTGTAAGGTCCTTAAGGGCAGGGACTGATGTGAATGTGCAGTATGTGCTGCATAAATTGTCGGCGCTATATAGATACCTGCAATATATAAATACCAGGACAGCCCTGCGGGAATTGGGGCAGTTGGGAGGTATGGGAGACTCTTTAACAGCAACACAGAAACAATTTTTTTTTAAATAGAGTATGGGAAGGCTTTAAGCCCTGTCAGAATTTTTATTCTGGGGAAACCGTTGTCAGCAGGATAAAAAGTAAGGATGAATCTCGTTGACGGGCCACCAGATAGCAGTAGAAACTCAAAAGGAATTAAAATCCTACTCACTCTAAAAAAACATTTCTGGCTTGTCCTTCAATATAAAAAAGTAACACAAATCTAAATAATATAAATATATAGATAGCAAAAAGGCAACACACATTAACTGCATAAAACGGGGATTTTTTTCACTGCCCAAAGCCAGTGACTTTTGAAATTGCAGGAGTAATTATCTGAAACCGAGGACTAGTCCTGGAAATGAGAACACGGAGACAACTAGAGGTTTCTTCATGTGCCTGGGGTTCTTTAATAATGTATCCATTCAGCTCAGAAAGATCCCTGTCACTTGTAGAAAAGTCTTGTAATGTCGTGTTGGCTGCTCTAGAAATCAGTCTAATAGATTCTTCCAGTGCAATCTACTCATACAATGACACTATACAGCGACAGACTCCTATTTCTAAATTAAAACATTGTTTCCAACTAGGTGGAATTAGTGTGATTAAGTGACTTACATTAGAAGACAGAACGAGCAAATACTGTAAATGTCAGCACTGTTATACATTTTAAGCTGACTTTGAAGATCTAACACAAGAATTAGGCAGAAGAGACAAGAGCGCAATATAAATAAGGGATGGCGAGATTGTGCTTACTGCGACAAGTGTTCTTATCTGGATTCAAGATAAACCCAGGGCGACACTGACAGACGTACGAGTCGTTAGCATTCACACACTCGTGCTGACAGCCATGGGTACCCAAGGCGCAATAGTTGACAACTACAAAGAGAAATAGGAGTAAAATATTATGAACATTAAATAAATTCTAAAGCAGGGGTAGCCAAACTCCGGCCCTCCAGCTGTGGTGAAACTACAAATCCCATGATGCATCTCTCTCCAGGAGTCATGTCTGTGGCTGCAAGAATCTTGCAATACCTCATGGGATTTGTAGTTCCACCACAGCTGGAGGGCCGGAGTTTGGCTACCCCTGTTCTAATGTTCTAAAGAATTTCAAAATTAAAGCACAACTTCAGTGAACAGCTAAACAGACAATTAAAATGCCTAAAAGTAAAAGTGGAACTCCAGCAAACGGCTTTCAGTAATTTGTGCTGTGTAAAAAAAAGTTACTTTTACTGAGGTGTATGCCACTTCCAGGATCACTGCATATGAGGTGAGTGCTTTTCACTCACCTCATAGTTCTAGCCGACCTGTGACAATGTATTCTGTGAAGGAATCCCAGTATACATGGCATACTGTAAACGGCCAAGGGAAGCCAGGGGCAGATATATGACCCTAGTGCTTCCAAGTAGGAGAGCCGCAGCTCTTATATCCGCAGTGGCCCGGAAGTATAGTGAGAACTGTACTATCCACCATAATTTAAAAAATTACATTTTAAAGGAAAGAGCAGTGTCCCTGGACATGGCATACACTTAGTCAGCCTGGCTGGATTATAGTGGCATTTATTTGGTTAATTCCAGGTGTCTGGCATTGACTCTATCCCCCTGGGGAGTGTGACTCTGTCATATTGTGCGACAGCCAATCACACTGTAGTGTATGTACAGTACAGCAGCCAATCACTGAGTTTCTCTCAACCAGTGGTGCATGCTGGGATATACTGGAGGGATTTGCCATGTGCTCAGACTAGCCAGGACCAGCCATGGATTAGGGCTGGGTGCTGTTGAGGCTGCCCCGAAGCTAGGCCTAAGGATTGGGGGTGGGCATAGGCTGGTGTGACGGAAATGTTTCCCTGAGGCATTTAACATGCGGGAGGCCTATGTTGCTGTCAGAGGAAGAGACCCAGGACCGAGGACGGCTCTTGAAGTTTCCTGGAACCTAAGGCCTTCAGGAGCATGAGCGGTGTCTCTCCTGTTGAGGATCTGTGCTCATCCTTGCTCATCTGCTACTTCAATTGCTATTCGCTGTCTCCCAAGTGGATCTACACTGATATGCCAACCAGGTCTGGTGAGTCTGTAGCTTTTGTCTGTTATACTCTGGAAGCTTAGGATCCCTATAGCCTCTCTCCCCAGTGAAGGTGTTCAATGAAAGTTATTCAGCATTATACTGCTGGAGTGGACATCAGCTTTTGTGGGCATTAGAAGAAGGGGGGTTAATGCTAATGGGTGGGCAGCTGAAGATCATACCCTAGACAGACTAGAGATGAACCGGGCATTCTGCAGCTCCTTTGGGGGTAGTGCTACAATATCTACTATGACAATCTATCTATGTTGTCATGTCAAAGAGTTCCCCTGTGCTTTAGTGTGAATAAACAGAAGACAGTAGTCTACTTACTTTTACAGGACTTTTTATCTTTGGTCAGCTCATAGGCCTCGTAGCACTGGCAGATGTAGGACCCTGGTGTGTTCACACAGATCTGCTGACAGCCGTGGGTCTCTGAAGCACACAGGTCCTGAGCTACACAAGACAGACAATTAATAAATGCACTCAGATATCAGAACCATTCCACTAACTCTTATCTCTTCCTTCTTGCATTGCCCAGGGCACATTGCAGAGGTCAACCATTTTTAATGATGTACTTTCAATAAGCACATATCTTGAGTTGATATTGCTGTTTTCTTTAAAGCGAACCTGTTGTCATGCAAGGGAAAGCAAGAGGTTAACTTTAGTTCTTCCCTCCTCCGCCAACCAGCACATATTCACCTTTCCTCTGCTTCCTTCAGCTGCCAGAAGCAAGGAAACAAAGCCCTATATAAGCTCCATGTTGCTCCAGTTGGAGATTACACAGGGGTGAGGGCTCTGCTCACCACCATATGACAAAATTGAGCCAATCAACAAGCACTAGTGCTGTCACATGGAATGAATCCTATGCTTTGTCATATCTGGAAGTACCTGGAATTTCCTTTGTGACATCTATGGGAGGTAGGGTTGCCACCTTTTCTTCAAGCGAAACCCGAACACTCTAGTGCTGCTTCATCAGCTTCTTTGGGGTCCCTATGTGATTTTAGGGGTCTGAAAGACCCCTGATGTCTCCATGAAGAGGACCTGTCACATCTTATTTGCTATTACTCCCTATGTGATAGCAATACAGTTAAGTGTAAAAAAAATTTAAACATTAAAGTAACATGTAAAAAAAATTTAAAATGCAAAAAACATTTTTTAAAGTCCTCACATACAAATGTAAACACGTGTCAGGTGCGCCTAAGTACAAAAACAAAATTTGTGCCACACATTACATATCACCGCAAACATCGAAGTGAGAGCAATAATTCTAGGGCCATCAATCACTGATAGCACTAAACTGATGAACAGTAAAAGATTTTAAAGCATTGCATATGGAAAATGTGTGGTATTGTAGTTTTTTGCAGTTTGACTGGCGCATGCAATTTTAAGCCTTGACATGTTTGGTATCTAGTTACCCAACATGACCCCATCTTTTATATTTGACGACAAAATGGGTATTATATTTTGGTTGTGCACTAAATTTCATTTTAATGTATTTTATTCTAAAATTACTGGTTTGATAAACATTTGTGCAAATACCGTGCGACATTAAAAATTGCAACTAGCATTTTTTTATTCTACAGGGCCTCTGCTTTCAGAAAATATATCATTGTTTGGGGGTCTGAAGCTCTTTTCTAGCCAAAAATTTATATTTTATTATGTGTGTGCAAATAGTAGGAAATTGCTCTAGACAGCAAGTGGTTGAATGGAAACAATATGGAAACAATATACAAGTCCATAGTGGTCACCAAAAGGAACAGGTTCCCAAAATGGTTGTAGAACGTATTTACAGCCCAGCTTTGGAAAACACTAGAATGGGTCGGTTACATCTACATTCTTCCTTACTATGGCACAATATATATGGATCATTTCTGGTACCTGTAACTTCAAGCAGTGTGTTCCATGTATAACTTTCCCAGGAATAGATCACCTTATCTGTCTCCTGCTGATACCCATCTCATGTCAGTACCAGTCTCCTCATCCATCATCTGGGATGCTGGTCCCAGCACATTTACCTTCCAGTACTGAACTCCTCTATTGAGGCAGTGATGAGCTGAGCTTGTGCCTGGTAGATGGGGAAACTCTGCTGCTGATCAGTACCAGCTGTCTCCTGGACTGCATGTCTCCTGTCTGGATGTAGGTGCAGCAGTTCATGTGTCCCCAGAAAAGGTAAACACAACCCGGGGAAACCATACAGAGTCGCAGCTTCCTCCTTACAGTGCAGGAACAGAAGGACCCTGTTGTTGCCCCTGTCTGCCTGTATCTTGTGTCCGGTTTTCAGCTGACTTGAAATCCGGGCACAAGATTCCAAACCCGTACTGCCTGGGTGAATCCCGGACAGGTGGCAACCCTAATAGGAGGCAGTCTCATAGATGTCTATGGGAATGGACTGTGGGACATAGGATGTCAACAATGCCCCAGCTGCATCTGAGACAGGAAAGAGGAGGTTCATTTGGACCAAGAGGTCTAGATGGGATAGACAAGTACAATTTAAGTGAAAGCACAGTTTCGTTAAAACAGGCCTGTTGCTTTGTCCGGCATGGGGAAAAAAGACTTTCTTTCAAGAGTAGGTGTGGCTTCCATAAATATACTCTCATTCATCCTCTTCCTATAGAAGATGGGGCAGTTTCAATAGTGTCTTCCCCTCTGCCCCAATTTACTTATTACAGGGTTGCAGATTTGCTATCACACAACACTGACATTGAGAAATAGCTGACTTACTTCTGCAGGTCTTCTCATCAGGATTCAAGATGTATCCTTGCTTGCATCTACACAGGAATGAGCCTGGAGTATTGATACAGAAGTGATCGCAGCCATGTTCAGTAATAGAACACAGATGAGGAGCTGCGAGGAAATGAGAGAAGACTGAGTTCATAAAAGATCCAATATTCACAAGAAATACATCACTTGTAAGGACTAAGCCATCCAGGAGTTAACAGCAGAACTATAATGAGCACAACAAAAAGTAGGAAACGCTTGTTATTTCACACAGAAATGTTCCAGTTTTTTGGAAAATCTACACATAACCCAACATTGATAATAATAGGAAAAAATCATCAATTAAGAATGTTGTATCCATTTGTCAGCCAAGTTGAGAAGAAAATTGTGTTGGGTTCTGGCAGTGCACCATCCATGACCTTCAGATTTCTCACCTCCCCTCTTTGGTTCATTACTCTTTCTTCCCATACTGAATTCACTGTGCAGCCTATTGTACATTGCCTGATGTTTTAGGCTAAGAAAGAAAACATTGGCTGCACAGAGAATTTTAGAATGCTAATTGTGTGTCTGGGACTTTAAATGCTAGCACATATGATCCTATGTATCATACACAGCAGTTTTCTCAGCCAGGGTTCAGTGGCACCCGGGATGCTTTTTGTCTTTGTCAAGCATTTCCATGGGGCAGGCAAGCCAGACACCAGACCTGTGGAAACGTATGATGCCAATCCAGGGTGGCCTGCATCTAAGACCTCTTCCTGCATTCAGAAGAGGACAGAAGTCCACTTTTGGCCAGACCTGCTCCACCTCCCATCCTCTGCCATGCTGTTACAGCCACACTGTGGGGCACATTATTAGGTAGCACTTTGATGTGAAGGGAGAACTGAGGACTCTGGTGTGTAGGGAAACTCTGATATAAGGGGTGGATTCTGATGTGAAGGAAACTGCAATAAATGGTTAAAGTTGTGTGCAGGATAGACTTTGGTGCATTTTGCAGACAGCGTCTGATTCTTCATTCATGCCTTCATGTCTTCTGTCTTCATGCAGTTACAGTCAGTTTTCCTTTAATCAATCAATATGATCAAACAATTACAATAAACAATTCCAAAGTGAGCATATATGCAATATCAAAATGCATAATTGTATGCATATAGGAAGCACATCTTATGTTGTATTGTCTTCTATAACCTACAAAACATGCAATTAAACTTCCCTGTCCCCCAAAGAAATGTCTCAAAGCCCAACTCAGACTGCTCGGAGTTGTGGATTAGGCTGAAGGGAAAGCAAAAACCGAAAAAAGGGTCACCACAGGTAATTGCCCCGCCATAAAAATGGCCCTGGCCAAATCATATCCCCTCCACCTTGGCAGGCTTTAAAGGCGGCCCAGAGTCTACTTCTCACAATCTGTGCAGCCGTCTATGGACCAGGAGGTTTTGGCTGGGTTAGTCCTTATGTGAAGATTTTCTGCTTTGGCTGGAAGGGATATGTTTTGGGCTAGAACATCACTTTTTGGGAGATTTAAATGTGGTGACCCCTTTGGCTCCCCTTTTTGCTTTTTTTGAAGCCTTTGGGTGACAGAGAAGTTATGACCTAATTGCACCTTTGTAAGTAAGAGGGACAATACAACATAAGATGTGCTTCTTATATGCATACAAACATGCTTTTTGATATTGTATATACAGTATGCTCACTATATCATTAATTATAGTCTATATAGCTTATTCTATTTTAATAGTTAATATAATTATATATAATTAATATCATTGTAACAGTATGGAGACTACTTGACTACTTGGTAGGGAATGGTTATAGCCCCTGTCTGTTTTGTTATGTCATCTGTGTGTAATTGGACAGTTCCTGTCTGGTAAACACAAGAGTGAGAGGAAATTACTCTAAAGTCATGAAAAAGTCCTCTTAGATAATTGTCCCTGGAAAATGGGTATCCCGACAGGGAGATTTCCGCTCTATTCCTGTTCTGATAACAACTCAAAATTTTGACTTTTCCCTCACTTTTCAGTCATGGTGACAGTGGTCACCATAACTAATATAGAGAGTAAATTTCCCTCACGGAGACATTGACAGCAATAAAAATCTGACGGTGGTTCTAATCCCTGATCACACTATCCAAAACTAATGCAGGCTTTAGATATACTGTGAACAGGCATTTTACAACAAAGAAGATAGGGATATCCTGGAAAATACGTTAAAAGTAACCAAGAGCTCCACCTGCTGGGTGCATATGGAAAAACCATGTTATATGCAATATTTAATACTTAGCTGATAAAAATATAATTATCACAATTTTTGACACAACACTAAACATTTACTTTAATATGTCAGCTTTTCAAAAGCTTATCATTAAAAGATGCTATTTGTAGTTATGTTTTCAAATACTGCCAAAAATGATAGCGTATACAAAGCAAAAGACAGTACACCAGAATTATATGTTAAATATTAGTGTAGAACTCTGACCACCACTGAAGCCATCATGAAATTCAAAAAGTTCAGACTTGCACAGGGTTAAGCATGCCCCCCACAGGTGACAGCACTGGGGGCTTGGTGATTGGCTGCTCAGGTACCCTGTCTGCCCAATACCTGCCAGTACTGGTTATTTCATGAATATCCAATGGTGCATTGGGGTTGCTGGTAAAACCCAGACACATTCTGGTTCTGCCTACACAAGATCACCATTACACTGATTACGTTGGTACAGAGTCACTTTAATGTATTAACTGGTAGCTGGATTTTGAAAGCTTGACTCTCATTGGTGTCAACAGTGCAACTCTGTTGACCCCAACATGGCAATTCTTACACTTTCGAAAGGCCCTTTGTATGTTATGTTTGTTGGAAATGCAACAGCGTATATATCATTGTAATCCTTGTGTAATTATGTCCTTTGAGCTATAGATGGCGCTGTAGTGCAATGTTAGTCTCTATGCTTTTGCATGTTTATCGATGATACACAGGAAGTTTTCCCTGTATGCTGTACAATGCTGTATTCTGATGTAATATTCTCCTAAGCAAGTAAAACTTAATTCAGCATTCCTCAAGATCTCATTGCTTCATTTAAACATAAAACCAACAGGTTATGGGCCCACACACTAAACCGAACACTGCAAGTCAACAAGAGCTGCATCCAAGCTATTGAAAGACGTCAAGCAGTTCAGATGGCAAGTTTGTAATTGCAAAGCTTAACAATAGCAACTACCAGCTATGAAAGTTCAAGCTTGAAATGCTGCTAAGCAAAGATGACTTGTGGCAAGTACTGAGTACTTACAGACCCACCAATTGAGCCACGGAGGAATGGGACAAGAAGAACAGGCAAGCAAAAGCAATTATAAGTCTGCTAGTGGAAGACGACTAGCTCATCCACATAAGAAAAGAAAATACAGCTAAAGGTATGTGGAATGCATTACAAAGACTGCATGAGCGTTCAAACCTAAGCAGTAAACTATATCTACTACACAAGTTAGGTGATGAGGCTAGAAAGAGGCCAGGAAATGCGTGTACATGGGAATGCCATGCTGAAAATCAGAGAACACTGTGCAATTGGAGAGGAAATGAAAGATAACCACGTGGTGGCATTACTGCTATGCAGCCTTCCAGAGTCATACAGTGCTCTTATTAATGCTCTAGAAACCAGACTTGAGCAGGAACTAACACTGGAATACTCCAAATCGATGAATATGACCGAAGGAAAAAAAATATGCACAATGAAGAAAACGAGAAAGCTCTTTAGTTGCATGAGAGAGCAAAGCAAAACAAAGAAAGCAGAGCGTGTTTTCCCTGTACAAAGACTGGTCACCTGAAAAAGGACTGTTCAATTTGGAAAGCCGAACAGAGAAAATTAGAGAAAAGAGCTGAGGCAGCTACAAAAGCAACTGCAGGCACATCATGGAGCGCTACCTTTAAAGTGACTCAGAACAGTATACCACGTGGATGGTGTATTGACTCAGGCACAACAAGCCACATGACTAGTGATGAGACCTTTTTCCACAGAAGTTGATTTAAGTGCAAAGGACAAAGTTTTGCTAGCAAATGAGAAAAGTATTTCTGCAGAAGGTAATGGTCAAGGATTCTTGAACTGTATTACACCGTGATCAAACTATCAAACTAGTTGGATATGCCGATGCTGATTGGTTACATCTTCCAATACAGGGAATGAACCATAAGTTGGTCGAGCCGAAAGCAAACAATTGTTGCACTTTCCTCAACTGAAGCTGAATATATAGCAGCGGGCACACGCATGTCAAGAAGCAATATGGATTCGCCAGGTTTTAATGAACAATTGATGTGAAGTATCACCTGCTTAGGGACACTCAAGGGCAAGCAATTTTCGGCATGCAATATTGCTCATCAGAAGAAATTACTGCGGATGTGCTCACCAAGCCAGTGCCAAAGGATCTAAACAATTTCCTTCGGGAGAAGCTAAACGTCATATAGCAAGGCATATGCTGTTGAGAAGGGGTGTTGGAAATGCAACAGCATGTACTGTATATGATTGTATTAATTGTGTAATTATGTTGTTTGAGCTGTAGATGGCGCTGTAGTGCAATGTTAGTCTCGTTGCTTTTGCATGTTTATCTATGATACACAGGAAGTTCTCTCTGTATGCTGTATAATGCTGTATTCTGATGTAATATTCTCCTAAGCAAGTCAAACTTAATTCAGCGTTCCTCAAGATCTGAGTCCTTCATCTAAACACATAACCAACAATGTTAAGTGCTCTTTAGGGAGTTTTGATCAAGCAGTATATTTCCTATATAAGATCAACTATCCATCTGTGCACTACAAAGGACTCCGCACATAAACTGCCGCTGAAAATGTCAATAAACAAAGAGTCCCATAGTTAATATCATAGTAATTAATTTGACATGTCTAGAGTACACACAAATCAATTGTCACAAACTCCAAGTAATGTCTATATGTTATGGCCTGTTTATTATTTTATGTTACAGTAGTTGCTTTACTGCCCTAGATGTTTATTCTAGTTGAAGTACATGTCTCCTTGTCAGTGTTTGGAGCAATGCCACTGGGGGGGAAGTTAACAGTAAATCAATATGTAACTCCACCACAAGTCCCTAGGGCCCAATTCCTATTTACTGATTTAACAGCCGTCTTTGCAGCAACACAAAAGGGATTCTTGTGGTTTTTGGTGCTGCTGATCTGAATGTCTTTCCAGGGCTGGGCCTCTTGTTACATTATTGGGCCTGTGGTCTGCCCTCGACCACAGGATTCTGATAGACCTCACACACTCAGTAAAGGGTTAGCTCATGTTAGGAACCCAAAACAATCTCAAAGAAACCATTTTAAAAGGAGAATTAATATCATCAAACATCAACTGCATTGTTTCCGAGCCAAGAGACTTTCAGCCCCCAAACAATCAACTACCATTAAACCTGTAAATGGTTGAGCAGATGTTTTGGAGCAGGAACTTGACTAAACAAAAGGTTGCAGTCGAAATAATTCTGGAGTTTTGGTCAGAGTGGAAAACGTTATAACTTTTCTCTGGAGTTTGTTGGTGTTTGTATCCTAGTTGGTGAACTTTTCTCTATTTTCCTGTTGCGGTGACCCTGACACTTAGGGGCTGATGTATAAATCTTCCGGCCAGCGTAAGTGTGGGTGAATGCGGCTCTTGTGGCATTACCGCTACTAGATGGAGCCGAGGAGCATAGAAAATTTCTCAGTGCTATCTCGTGGCATTGTACGGCATTCACCCGACTTTACGCTGGCCAACACATTTATATATTGGCCCCTTACCGTGTCACATGGACAGGGAGTGCGGGAAATCATCTTAATTGGGACACGGACACCAAAAGAAACCTGGCAGAGGTTTTAACTCTATTTCACTCTACTGAAAACATTTATTCCTGTATTGTATTGACTGGACTGATTTCCCTTCACTTCCTTTCCCTGTGTAAAGACCAAGAGATCAACTCCATAGGAGCGAATTCTGTCACACTTTTCCTACCTAGCACCTAGTTGAGATGTGCGGTGAGGTCAGTGGCAGGTGGGGCATCCCCCAAAAGAGTGGTCCCTGGCCCTGTGACTCACAGCCTGTGAGGTAGGTGGGGAAACCGCTCTGCCTGTGAGGTGTGGGAGAAGGGAGGAGCCTCCCTGTCCCTCACTTGCTCATCACTGATGAGGCATCTAGATTTTTTGAGTGGACGGCTTAGACCAATAGTGCTTTGCCATTGGTCCAAACCATCCAGAGAGCTCAAGCTTCTGACTCCAAATCAGAAGCTTGTTGTAGGTCTGACCTTACTGTGTTAGGTTTCACACAGCAGTAGGGAAGCCCGCTGTTGTGTAACCTAACATAGCTGTCAAAAGCCGGATGAAGCGCCGTCTGTAATTAACAGGTGGCGCTCCGTCCATGACCTGTTAGAAGCCGTTCTGAATGGAGAAAAAGCTGTTAGCATGAGACTTGAAGCTCCCCAGACCACATGTCCCTGTTACCTAGTATATCAAATGCTAGGAAAAGGTCCTCTAGCACCCAAGGGCTCCCCAGGCCCAGACAGATCATGCTTGCGTGTCCAAGTGTACAATGGCTGGGTTGGACTAGGGTGCAGAAATGATGGCTGCCATTCACTGGCCCTAGGGTTACCACCTTTTGAAGCCACTCAGGATGACGAAGGGTTGCAATCTGGTTAAAACAATGTGTTTTAGTCATAAAGAGTACAGCAAAAGAAGACTAGGATTTACGTAACCAAAATATGCTGACTAAAATAGCTAAGACAGAAAGGTTTTTTTTTTAAATATCTGAAAATAAATAAAATAAACATGTAAAATAAAAAACACACACTTACCACAAAGCTTATTCTGGAACACAGATGTCAACGTCTCAATCTGACTGAAATTGGCTACTAAGAAGACATGTTCCTCGTGTGGCTCACTTCCAATGGATATCAAAGTGTCCATATCTACCCGACCCACCCCAAGGGCAAATATTAAGATCCCAGAGTTCCTTGCCTTTGCTGAAATTTCAGCTACGGGATCCTGCGGTCTGCCATCAGTTACTATCATGATAATCCTCGGCACATACTGATTTGCTGGGCGAGCCCCATCACTCTCAGAGAAGGCAATGTTCATGGCATACTGAATTGCCAATCCTGTCATGGTTCCGGTGGCAAGGTGCATCATCCTCTTCACTGCCCGTTCAATATCAGATTTCTTTTTGTAAGTCTTCAGGGAAAACTCATTTTTTACTGTACTGCCATATTGTATCAGACCCACCCTTGTTTTATCTGGGCCAATGTCCAGGAACGTGAGCATAGTGATTAGAAATTCTTTCACCTTTTCAAAGTCATACGGGCGTACACTTCGGGAACTGTCGATGATGAAGACAAGATCCAATGGCTTGTTGTGACAGGCTTCCTCTAAAAAAGAATATACAATAGGCAATGAAACACTCTTATAATACATGCAAAACTCAAAATAAAACTTTAAATGGCTACAATGAATAAGTAAATAATATTTATTTAACGGCTTTTAATAAAGCTTTTATTGCCTTCATGGACAAGTATGCACAAGCTCCAGGAGATTTATCACAGCAGAAGATGTTTAAAGCTGAAATTGTAGCTGCTAATATTTTGTCCCCGCTCCTTTCCCATCAGACTTTCCCTGTCATCACTGGGTCTCTGTTCATTTCTGTGCAATGCAGGCTGTTTATAGCTGGTGGGAGGGACTTAAAGGGTGCTGCACATAGTTTCCTGAAAACATCATAACCCCCTGGCATATTACACCTCTCAAGCTCTATCAAACGAGATGCAAGGAGTGGGTTGGCTCTTGGGAGCAGTGGACAATCCTGGGCAGGCTGCATTTTCACATAGACCACCCTAGGAACCACCAACATGTGATGCTGAACCTCTATGGTTGAAAGAGCCGAATCCAAAGAATGAAAGTGATGCATGATGCTGGACATCCTCCCGCCAGAAAATGAGGCCCTCTCTATCTGACTTCTTGCCCTTTCTAATACGGCAGCTCACAGTGTGCCTGAATTCAATGGGTGATGTGTGGCAAACGCAGGAAAACTCTATAAAGGGGTATCTTTGTAGAGCAGTGAAAGTGACATTCACCAAATCTTCATTGCAGATGTATCTTACCATTGAATGTGTTTTAAATGACACACGCAGTGAATGTCACATTCGCTGTGCTGCTAATGTCTAATAAAATGTTTCTTATCTATTTATGGGAACATCTCCACTTTTATTAGCTTACTTGGCACTGAGTGATATTTTTTTCCAGGGCCGCATAGTTTTTCTCCTCTTTTTGGCAAGTCTTTGTGTATGTTGGTTTAATGTCATCCAAGTCCATTAGCATAATATCTGTTTATTTCTCTTGACTGCTGTTTTAGAGTATCAGTTCTTCCCCCCACACTTTCCTCCCTCTGTAACAAACCTGAATTACTCTTGCTGCTTTACTCGATCATTGGCGGCTGTGAAGGAACTGAGATATTTCTACTTTATTGCTGTGCACCAGACACCAGGGGTAGCCAAATGTTGGCCTCTGGAGGTCATACCTGTGGCTGTCAGAGTCCTGCAATGCCTGATGGGTAGTTTCATCACAGCTGGAGCGCTGAGGTTTAACTACCATTATCTGTAAAAAATAAGTCAAGGCCACTGGACTTGCTGTATTTTTCTTGAAGACGTTTCACTGGTCATCCAAGCAGCTTTCTCAATTCAGAATGACTTGTACAAAAAATTATCTGGGAATAAATATGGTGAATGTTGCGCCAATCCACATAATCTATTAGTCACAACCAGGTGTTGATTGCATTTGCATAATTGGAGTCTAGGAGGTGTTATTCTCCCACTCTGACTGCCTTTAGGTGATCCCTTAAAGGAGAACTATGAGGGGAGTGCTTTTCACTCACCTCATAGTTCTAGCCGACCTGTGACAATGAGACTGTCACAGGTCGTCTCAGTAAATCGGGAGGTGAGCGAACACATACCGGCGTTCGCTCACCTCTCGATCCTGTCACGGCTCTCTGCCGTGACAGGGGAGGGGCTGGATTCCCCCCTCCCCGCTCCGACCCGCCAGCGCTGACTGGCGGAACGGACGGGGGAGGGGGCGGGTACAGCTGGCTCTGCCTCTAGATAGGCAGAGCCAGCTGTCAGTCATGCAGCTGGGCAAATCCCGGCACAATTGTCGGGATGCGCTTCAGCTGCGGCGTCTCAGTATACCGCTAGCAGCAGCTCACGGTATACTGCGGCGTCTCAATATACCGCGAGCTACAACTCGCGGGAGGACGCTAGTTTGTGTCCTCCCGTTGCCCTAAGGAGAACTATGGGGAAAGCCTTAACCCCATAGTTCTCCTTTAAGACTAATCTCTTCAGGGAAGCCTACCCCACCTCAACCTAACCACTGAACTATCACTTTCTCAAACAATAAATCCCCACACAGCTACCTCCTCATGTATCACTTCTCCCTCCCTTTTAGATTGTAAGCCCTCACGGGCAGGGCCCTCCTTACCATCTTGTCTTGATTTATATTGTGATTGTAATGTATTCCTTATATTGTAAAGCGCTGCGCAAACTGTTGGCACTATATAAATCCTGTATAATAATAATTATTAACCTGCCCAGAGAGGTGTTAAAACAGCATTATATGTGTAATTTTTTGTACAAGTTATTCTGAATTGAGAAAGCTGGTCGGATGTCCAGTGAAACGTCTTCAAGAAAAATACAGCAAGTCCAGTTGCCTTGACTTATTTTTTACAGATATACCATGACCTGGATGAATGAGAACCTTCGCAGACATATTTAACTACCATGGCTCTACAGGGGTAGGTAAACTCTGGTGCTCCGGCTATGGTGCAACTACAAAACCCATCAGGAATTACACGACTCTGACAGCCACGGGTATGACTTCTAGAGGCAGATGCATGATGGGATTTGCAGTTCCAGCACAGCTGGATGCTTGGGCCTTGCCTAACCCCTGCTCTACAGCAATTACTACTGTCTCCATCTATGGGGAATCATCTGACACGTACCACACTACTGTCCATGGCTTCTATGCCAGGCCTTCAGAGAAGCAGACAGTGGTACCCCCAATACTTTGTTCCTTGGGTTGAGTTTCTTCTTTGCTATCACACTAGAAACACAATCAGAAGATGCCGTCCTATCTGCCTGCGGGCACAGACGGACGATCACGTATGACAACCCAGCCCAAGCAGCCATCTTGGAAGCCCAATCACATCTCCTAACGCACAGCTGAAACTCAGTGACTTCATGGATCCAAATGCAATTTATATACCGCCATTTCAGGCGGAAACCATCTGTATCACATTATAACTAATGACATCGCCATAATCTCTGCAACATTTTTTTTGTGCAGTTAAAGATCTGAATTCCCAAGATTTCGGCTTGTATCATGTAAAAAGAAAGACGGGAATGATCTAAGTTTGTACTGCGGAGATTATAGGGAATTAGAGGGCTTTATGGGAAGTGAATATTCTGTACAGATCAGGCTCTGTGGGAAAAGAAACATTGACTTCTTCTGTTTGTCTCCGTTTCCCGATTGCAGCAGTAAAATATTTAGAACCGTCTTTGTCAAATATTCACCAATGTGCTTATATCACAAACCCTGAGAAGGCTTTCTATTTACTACAGGCGCTCTGTGTGAGTTCTAATCAATCATGTATGTGTTATAAGGCTAGGCTCACACCTAGGCGATTGAGTTGGTAAGCTGTTTTCACGTGGTTGTTGCATGTTTTCGTTTGCTCGACTGTGCTTTGAAAACCGCACGGTTTTCATTGCATGGAGATGGCTATGGGACGACCCAAACCGCGTTACAACCGCCCGAAAATAGCTCCATCGTCACCAGCTGAGAAGGAAGCATGGAGCCGGATTTCTGGCCAATCAGGAAGCCGGGGGGCGGGTAATGACTCGCCGCCTGGCTTTCTGATTGGCCAGCTTCCTGACCAATCAGGAAGCCGGGCGGCGAGTCATTACACGGCACCCGGCCTCCTGATTGACCAGCTTCCCGACCCTGGTGATGAGGGACCATGAAGCCAGCTTCCCGGCCAATCAGGCTTCCTGATACCGTAGTTCCAGTATCGCGACAGGCATCGGGAGCATTTGGGCGAGTACGAGCACTCCCCCAAATACTCGGTATCAGTGCACCCCTAATGCTGATCCTTGATGTTTCAAAGTTTGAAAAAAGGATCTGGTCTCCTGAGCACTGGCCTTGATATCCTGTATTAGTGTGGCTCCTTTGCCTTTCAGGGTCCTATGGAGCCACCTTTGTGTGTCCTAGTAAGCTGTGTGTGTCTCCACAAACAAAACACACAGACAAAGGAAGGCAAGACACTCCTCTGCTCCCCCTTCTCGCTGTTCTTTACTCTTTCTCCAAGCTAGTAGATGGACAGTTGCCCGAGACTGCTCTGTCCCTTGTGTTCTTGTACTGGAACGGATGTTCAGGGAAGCTGAGCTGAGAGAATTGGAGTCAACTGTTCGGAAACATGATGACAGTAAGTGTTTGGGCAAAAAAAATTGAAAAAAAAGAATTTGCTGGGCAATGAATATTTTTTTGATCTGGATTGCTTATTGAAAACAGTTTGAGAGTTTAATACTACTTAGATGACTAATATGATTCGATGTTAGAGCTACAATTTCATAGTCAAGATATGTGTTATATCTTTTCTGTCATTTCGTCATAGCTCTTATAAAGAGGGACATCTTCAGCTTCTAGGAAAAACCGCTTGTGGACTTCACATTTAGGCTTTCCTCCATTGCAACCTAGTCTCTCTGTAACTGGGCAGTGTCTCTTTCTGTAATTGGGAAGATGCTGGGCATCCTCTCTGTAACTAGGCAGTCTCTTTATGTAACTGGGCAGTTGCTGGGTAGTTTCTCTCTGTAACTAGGCACCCTCTCTCTCTCTGTAACTAGACACTATCTCTCTCTGTAACTAGGCACCCTCTCTCTCTCTGTAACTAGGCACCCTCTCTCTCTCTCTGTTACTGGGCAGTTTCTCTCCATAACTAGGCAATGTTTCTCTCCAGCCGTAACTGGGCTGTTGCTGGTAAGTCTCTCTATGTAACTGGCATTTTCTCTCTCTTTCTCTCTCTGTAACTGGGCAGTTTCTCTCTCTATCTAGGCAGTTTCTCTCTGTCTCTCTCTCTCTCTCTGTAACTGGGCAGTTGCTGGTCAGTCTCTCTCTCTGTAATTAGGCATTCTCTTTCTCTGTGGCTGATCAGACTTTCTGTCCTGGGCAGTTTCAGCAGCAGTGTAACTGGCCAGTCTATATCTGTAACAGAAGAGTCTCTCTCTCTCTCTCTCTTCTCTCTCTCTCTCTGCAACTGAGCAGTCTCAGGAGCCTCTGTGTACTTAGGCAATCCCTGGAAATACTCTCTCTATAACCAGGCAATCAATTACTGTAATTCGGCAGTCCGGACAGTTCCTCAAAAACTTGTGCCAATTGCTTGTAAAGTATTGTACATGCCTCTAGTATATGGCAGCTCTCTTTGGAATAATGTCGGGTAAAGGCAGATTTCAGGTATTGCTGTAGGTACAAACTCTACAGGCCAGTTCATGCTGTGGGTACAAGTTCTTCAAACTGGGTTGTGGGTTGGACTGGCGGCCAATTGAGGATCTTTACTGCGGACACCACATTTACATATAGAAAGTCAGCAAATATTCCAATGTATCATTGACACCTATACAGTATCTACATATCACGGCTCTATGTTTTATCTTGTGTCACATTTTGTTCGGTCATCCTTTATAAATAAGAAGTGTTCTGGTTGTGTTTTTTCAGGCACAGGTCTACAATGTAAAGCTTGTTACATGATTCATTCGAGTATGTCTAGGTTTGGATGTGTGCCGGTGTGATATAGGTGTGCACACGTCTCATTTACAAGGTCTACTTACTTAATAAATTAGCTTGGATTTCTGTCTCAGTTTTTCCACCTGACTGTCGTTTCTCCACCGCCTCTGTAGCCAGGAATAGGAGTGGGAGCACGATACATGTATTCACAAGAGCCATGCCTGAAAGAGAGCAAACAAGGCACTGCCATTAAAACTGGAACTCCATTTAAAGGGGATGTGTCACCAAAACTGTTATGTTTTAATTTTGGATAGAGTAGGGATTGGGTAGAACCTGTGTCAGGTTTTCACTGATGTCTCTGCCCCTTTAAATTATATTTCCCTCTTTAGTTCTCTTGTTGCCAACTAAACAGAAAATGACGGGAAATCCAAAATTGTACAGTTGTCACCAGAACAAGCAGTGAGAGTAAATCTTCCACTGGGGACAACAGATCCAGTGACACTCATCTAAGAGCAGAACTCCCCTAACATTGCAGAGATTTCTTCCTGCTTCCTGCTGCATCTCTGAGACAGGAAAACAGGAAATAAAGGGAAAATCTCACCAACGGAGACAAAAATGAATTGACAAGGGTTATAACACTTCCCTACAATATCCAAAAATAACAAAAGGTTTGAGCTATACATACACTTGCAGAATCTGATAGGAGGAGCTGCTGATAGTGCTTCTGGGAGCGGGGGGCTCAGCTTTGCTGATGATGGTGGGGGGCAGATGCAGTGGGATGGGCAGCTATGTTACAGTGGTGATGTCAGTGGCTCTCTGTCTGGTCCTGACCAACTCACTGATGCAGACATCTCAACTCTCCCAGATGTTTCAGGAGTCTCCCACTAGCGATAGATAGTGATAGATAGACCGATAGATAGCGGCTCCCAGACACCCGGGAGAGAAACATTTTCACCCGAGGAAAGGTTTACTCTGCTTTATCCAGCAGAGTAAACCTTTCTCGGCTGGTTATTTTATTCTTTTTTTCTTGACATCGGGGGCTGCCAGCCGTCGTCAGTCAGAGAAAAAAAAACAGCATAAGAATGAATAGCTAGATTGCTATTTCAATTTGCAACAGCCAATAGCAGACTTGCTATTGCACCCGCCCACTGCTGCTGTCAATCAGCAGAGGTGGACCTGAAGTTCTCCATCAGGTCCTCCTCTGCTGACTGACAGCAGCAGTGAGCGGGTGCAATAGCCAGCTTGCTATTGGCTATTGCAAACTGAAATACCCAATAGCAACCTGGCTATTCATTCCTTTGCTGTTTTTTATCCATTATTCTGACGGCAGCAGGTGTCAGGATACTAAAAAAAACCCCAGCAGATAGCAAGGGAAGCATTAGCTCCGCAGGGGAGGGGGGTCCAGAGGGAACCTCCCTGAAATGAGAAGGGCACCTCCCTAAAATGACTTATTTCAGGTTGGGATCCCTGCTAATGTTTCTGGTTGCCAGTAGCTCAGCGGGATGACACCTCCCTGGCAACCGAAGAGCTCTTAGCAACTTGGGACACTGTAGTCACCCCTCTGCTGCTATCCCCCCACACCCGATGCCAGTGGTTGCCAGGAGCTCAGTGGGATGGCACCTCCTAGGCAACCGAAGAGCTCTTAGCAACCTAGGACACGGCGGTCACCCCTCTGCTACACCCCCCAGCCCACACACCTGATGTCACTGGTTGCCAGGAGCTCAGCGGGATGGCATCTCCCTGGCAACCGAGGAGTTCTTGGCAACCTGGAACACTGTGGTCACCCCTCTGCTACCCCCCCACACACCTGCCACACACCCCCTCAATGAGATGCCGTCTGAGGCGACCTGCCTCTTTATAGGACGGCCCTGCTCCGTGGTTAAATTCATTTTGTAAAACAATACCCAATTGTGTCCAAGAAAAAAAAAACAGCATTGTTGCTTGCACATGATTGGATGATGAAGATCAACAAACCTCATTTACTACGCTAAGGGAAAATTCCCCTACAAAGTGCACAGCCTATTCACCTTCAGTAAATGAACCCCACAGCACCAGTAACTGAGAAAGCCTTTACATCCAGTTGTAGGTCTACAGCATTGCAGAAGTGTACTTTATCTAACAAAGACCCGTGCCTAGAAAGAAAACCTAGGCATAGGTAAATACGTCTATGGCATACCACTACCGCAGTTTGTTCTCCTCGAAGAAGATGAAGACAATGGAACTTCCGTTTTAGATGTGGATGGAAAGAAGTGTGGAATCAGCAGAACACAATGAACCAGCTCAGATCTCCCAGATCCACAGCTGTAATAACCATCCAGACTGAAAACCTTTACCAGACACCTCTGCACACAGCCGTCCTAGGAATCTGACAGCCAGACTTATTTGCCCCCAAGTGATACACAAACACCGGCAACCTTCCTCCAGTTTACGAGATTTCATTAGCTGCGTTTAAACTTGCACTTACTTACGGCTGCGCTTTCCAACCTGTGAAGACTTACATGTATGTTTTGTCTTGGAACACATTTAAGGGAAAGTCATCTCAGTTTACAGGCAATATAAAGAGATCAACGTTTGTCTAAGATAATGGCCCTATTAAAGTTCCTTGCATGTCGGACGGTTTAACTCAAGTAAACTTTGGCTGAGTAAGCCCTCCGGAATTCTTTGGCAAAATCGTTTTTCCAAAAACATAACTGTGCGATATATTCACAAGGAGGAGTAGCTTACACCACTAAATGGACATTCAAGGCGATGTCTGCAGACATTAAAGCTGAACTCCGGGATGAGCAAATATTGTCTGCCTACAAGAGACATGTGTGTTCTTCATTGATTCTTGGTGAGCTTTGTGTATTTCTTCCAGATCTGTGCAGTAGTTCAGTTTAAAACTTGGAGCTTCCTGTAATAAAGACCAGTCACTGCTGCTCTCACTTGTTGTGCAGGGTGACTGGTCTTGTCTCGGCCCCCTCCTGTAGTTTTCTGCTGGCAACGTGTGGGGCGTGGGCCATGTGTTGCACAGTGATGATATCACTGCTACTTACAATATAATAATGTGGTTTGCAATGGCATTGGGTGCACACAAAGAGGATTTATATAATTTGTGTTTTTCCCCATCAATTTGACCCTATTAAAGTGACAATAAACTCAGGAGTTATATCTTAAAAATGCATTCAAGTCCTTTAACTATTACCGTATCAAAAATAAATAGAAAGAATTAAAAAATAATTCAGAGATGATTTTAGAATCTACAGCCGAGTGATACACAAATAAGATACATCATTGTTACTAGTTAAAGGGGTTCTAAACCCTCCCGTTTTTTTGCCTATATCTACTGCTATCAAGCAGTAGATATAGGCACACAGTTTAAAAAAAAAAAACAAACCCCCGCTAAAACAGCAGTTTAAACCTTTTTTTCTTTGCGCGCTCCCGCCCGAGAAAACTAAACTGTTCGGGCGGCCGCAAAGTATCTTGGGGCGGGCGCATGCGCAGTTCGGATTCTCGGCCGGGAGACAAGCAGAGACGCAAGGTAAGTGTATGGACGCGTGCACCCGTGGGTATGTTGAGTATAGTACCTGGTAACCAGTAAAATCTGTGAACGGCTATATCCAAGAAGCATTGCAACTGTGCTAAAATCAGAAAATGTTGAGTTTTATTTGTTGTTACAGCCAGATTTAGCAAGCCTTTCAAAGCTTTTTTTTGTGTGCCTCTGCAGCCTCTTGTCATTTGACTCTATGCTATACCTTCTCCTTCATTGAGAACTACAGAGGACAGTGCTCACTCCCTGAGAACAGAAGCATTTTTAAAGCCTTGGATTCAGACCACTCCAATCTCCAAAACTTATACAAGGTATTCTCAAGGTAACAGGGCGGTGAGCACAAGATAAATGCCACAATCACTCAGCAGGCATTCAGCGTGTCCTGAAAATTGTACTGTACATCTAGCATACTATATATGAGTACGTGTTGTACATAAAGTGAAAAGGAAAATTTTATATTCTGTTTTACTGTTCCTTCAAGGTTTAGTGTGGCTGTTGGCATGGAGAACTGAGATCATGAAATAACTGGCGTGTTTATATGGTAAAATTGGCATGGGAATCCATTCGTCACCTGCTTTCTACATTAGTGCCTGGTACCCAAAATTTATGTCTTCCTGTCTTCTAAAGGTAAAATGAGCGCTAAATATATCAGTATCTTCATTTATGTCCATTCTCAGACAGACAGATAGAAGTTAGCACCCTGTGGGCCGGAGGGACCTGCCATACTGCCTGCATAATGTCTGCCTGTGTGTTCTTGCTCCATGCTACGATATACAGTTTCCTGCTAGATGAGGTGATGATGGATCTCATTAGAAACGTTGTGGTTAGGTAATAGAGATAGGTGACTCATCTCTTTCCTCATACTCTATGTACTTCTCCTGGGGAGGCTGGCCACTTTTATTTCCAGAATTATTTTCAGCTATATAACCAGAGCTTCTGTGTGTGAAACAAGAGTTTCCTGGTAAATAATGGAAATGGCAACCATGAGGGATATATTTAAGGTGGACTCCAGTCAAAACTGCAATGCCTAGAGAAGCGTATAGAGAGCAAAGCCTTCAGCCAAAAGGCTATTATTTATCACATAGGGATCTCAACCTCAACCTAAAAAAGAACTTTAACTTTCCTAATATGTCATCAAATGGATGTATATAATGAAATCACAAAACGTAATGATATGAAATATATTATACCATGAGGTAAAATGACAGAACCAACAATAAAAGTCATAACATATTATCAGGGAAGTCCTGATAGCGGTACATAGGGCAAGGCTTTCATCCAGACAGTGATTAAGCACACCAGTCCACTTCTTCTTTTGGTCAATAATTTGGTGATCCTGGAACACATCTATCGGTGATGCTGTAACACACTCCTACTGCCTCTCTTTCAGACAGAGAAATGGCATATAAAATGGCAACAGTAAGGCCCCATTCACACCTATGCGTATTGTAATATGCGCGTCTGTCGCGCGACCGTCACGCGTTTTTTTTACCGTGATTCGCGGTAAAAAAGTTGCGCGATTCCAAAGGCTACTTGGCAGTATCCAAATGGAAAACGCCCTACAAAACGGTCCAATACGCAGCAAAAACGCTCCGGGACCTTTTCATGCGTGGGCCGTTTTGTAGTGCGTTCGGGACGGGCGGAAATACGGACAGGTGGGAACGATACCATTGACTACAATGCTATTAATTT